AATTATGAAATTTACTAATTAAATTGTTTGAGAATAATTTGAAAAATGTAATTTTTGCAACAAAAAATCTCTTTTTTAAGCATTTGCTTCTTATCAATAATTCTGTAGAAATCATCTTCAGGGGAGAATAATAATTGCTTATAGATTATTAATAAAAAAATTTCATTTTGAAAAATCACAACAAAAAATTGTCTTCTTCAGGGATTTTGTGAAATAAATAAATTTTAATTGCATTTTACAATACATTTCCGAATTACGGCAATAATGAATCCATCAGGAGTGATTGACTCAGTAGTTTTATTGGAATTTATGGGGAAATTCGGGATCAGAGCTGACTGAATCTTCCGTGAAAAAATGGAAATAATTCTTGAATATTAAACCATCTGGAGCGAAATGTTCAAAAATTCTTGCGAAAATTTGAGGGATTTGGCGATATTTACAAAACTTTTACCGTTTGTCAATTTTTTTATTTAAATTGCGATTTCATTTGTTGATTAAATTGCATGAAAAAAATTTGAAAAATATAATTTTTGCAAGAAAAATCTCTTTTTCAAGCATTTGGTTCTTATCAATAATTCCCTAGAAATCATCGTCAGGGGAGAATAATAATTGTTTATAGATTATTAATAAATAAAAACATCTTGAATAATCCCTACAAAAAATTGTCATTTAGGGATTTTGTGAAATAAATAAATTTCATTTGCATCAAGTAAATGAAGCTTTTATTCAAACTTGGTCTTGATTTTTATCTAGATAAAATAAATAGTCTTTTAAATATTAAAAAATGGTTCCTTGATCTAAAAAAGAATGTATCATTTAGAAATGCAACCATCTCTTGGACTGGGAAGAGAACAGATTTGGAATGAATTTTTTTTTACGGCCCTTTTTTCGGGTCCCATTTGGCACTCTATTCACCCTATGCATCCACCCCTAATGAATTAATTATAAATGTCATATAACTGAACCATTTCCCTTGAAATAGAAATGTGTCCATTAATTGTCGATGAGAATACGGTTGGACTGCACCCAAAAATTCTAAATACAAATGTTTATTTTACTTAAACGCATTATTTTTTGAGTCGTTATAATAATGAGACCATACTTCAATGACAAATTCAGTAGCGAAGCGGTAAACCGGGTTAAGTCGATTTTGACTCTTGGCCATTTTTTGACAAATATCTCGGAATCCAAGAACGATAGCAAAATTTTGCTCATTACCTTTTTTATAACCCTCAGTTGGCTGTACAAAAAAGGTCATGACAAAAATTTTTCTATCTCTTTTAGATTCCCAGATATTCGTCAAAAACTGGTAAATAGTCAAAATCGACTTAGCCCGGTTTACCGCTTCGCTACTGAATTTTTATTTCAACATTATAAAAAATTGGAAATTCATTAAGATGAATAAATAAATATCCAAGTCCATTAATTTCCAACAAAAAATAGATTCGAATGTATTATTCTTCGATGTATAACAATAACAAAAACAAATTTTATTTACAAATTATTTTGCATTATAGAATACAATCCAATTTTATTCGTAATTCAATCTCTCAATAAATCGTGGCACGCGCATTTTGTATCAGTCCACACCGAGTACTTACCTTCCCTTTCTCTGGAAAGTCCCGGAACGACTTGGAAACTCGGCCAGTAAAGGCGTGGTGCCCCGGCATCGAGCGAAAACCAAACGGCGCCTCGTGTGTGCACACAAAAAAGCCCCCCCCACTCATACATCTGTGTGTGACTGGCATGCCCGTAGTGATTACGGCGCTCGGTTGAGCGTCACGATTTTCCTCAACCCAAGTCTCAGAGGTATCCCCGAGTCATTAGCTCCACACAAGATCCTTTCGTTGGATTCGAAAACAACTGGTATTTCCTTTCTGCTGAATTTCATTTCCTCCTCGCGAACAATTCCGACCGTCTGGAATGATAAATTCTAAACGGGCCATGAAAAGTAAATTTAATGCACTTCACACATCTCCATTATTCACCCACTCTAAACTTGACTGTCATTGTTATCAATGACCTTGGGAATGTTCCTCAACACTAAAGACCATTTTCCTCCCATAATTATCACCCGAATTAATTGTAGATGTCGTTGTACTTCCGCCGGCTTTCACCAGCCACGCATAAATCGAAAGACAAAGGACTTCATATATTATTCATCAAACTAATGTGAAAATCCACCTATTTTTCTTCCCCCGATTCTATTATTCATCAAGAGAAAAAGTGAATAGAAAAAAAAATCCCCGAGAAATTTCAATTCAATGCATTCTATACAAATCCTAACCTCCCAAACCGGTTTAATTCCTAAAGGAAGGGCTCCACCATTCACGTAATACCTCGTCTCAAGGACATTTAACATTCACAAATAAAAATTAACAAGTTTAACCCGGCGCGATTATTCAGGAATTCCCCGGGGGTTGAACACTGACAAAGCCGGAATTTTTATCAACTTTCTTTCACTCAAGTACTTAAAAGGGACTCTTAATAGAGGCGTGGTTGAGGCATTACCTTTTCGCCAGACTATGGTTCAAGGAGAGCGGGCGCGAGTTACAACGGTCTCAATCTAAATCTCACGCTAGGTCGCACAAGAGCCGGGCCTCGCCCCGGATTCGGGTCACATATATAAAATCAACTGTTTGTTACGTAATGTTACACAAATGCCGTGTGTTCTCACAATTTCATAGTTTCAACTATTCTGCCCCGGAAGTTCAGACATTTTTACTCATCTGAATATTCTCAAAACCTCGTAACAATCTGATCCTTCTTCTTCACCGATCAGGAAAAAAAACATAACGGTATAATTTTTATAATTAAATTCCCTGCGATTAAAATACTTATGAATATGTTGATTGAGTGATGCCGAGCGCAACCAGCACTCTTTCCTCGCTCTCATTTTCACTTGCCCCTTGAGAACCCTAGCTTTACATACTTTCTTCCTCGTTGTACTTCCTAGGTGTTCCATATAGAAGTTGAACACACGGTGAACCGGTTATCGGACACCAAGAACCATCAGTCAACACCGTTGAATCACCATTTATTTACACAACCACTTGTTTTTACCTGATTAGTAACGTTAAATAAACCGGCAAATAATGTTAAATAGTAAATATGTCTTCACGCGCATCTGAAGCAGTTGCGATACATTGGTTCTCACGGTACAAAGCGCACCGAGTATGTGTCATGTTTTATTTTCCAGTGTGTGTTGCTGCATTGGCAAACCTGTGAAGTAACACCTTGTTAAAGATCACTTTTAGCTTTCTTTGATGATTATTTTCGTTGTATTCCTCGTAGCTATCAATTTTGGTTATATTTCGGATTTGGGGAGTGTAAAAATTGAAATATTCCCACGTTTCCCGCCAGACATAAACTCCCCGACGGGAATCCCCGAGCTTCAACTACCGTCAAAAGCTTGGTTCGACCTCGTCTTGTCGAGTGTTGGTAAACAAGATTAGGCCATAATTCAGCCAATGGCGCATTTTGAGCCGTGGCTACCAGAATCGAACCAAGATGGTCGAAGAGTGCACCAGGGGAGCGATTTTGCTCGTTTTATGTCGACATAAAATCATAAATTTCAATCAATCCTAGTTGAGTATTTCGAATCCAGGACTGTCATTGGTTGGAATTTACGATTTTATGTCGACATAAAACGAGCAAAATCGCTCCCCAACTGTTGAGAAGACGGAAAGGGAGACTTATTTGTAAAAACTCTCAGGGCTGAAGGAAGGAGGGAAGGAGAGAATAATAATAATAATTGCGATAGTAATTACAAAGATCGAATCTTCAAGTACAATGAAAAATTAAAAGTCTGGGGTCATAGAAAATACTCAGGCGGGAGGAGAGGAGGTGGAGGGGGATATTCTTTTCACATCTTGCGAATAACCAGGTCATTAATAAACAATGAAATCGAAATTAATCAGGATTAGGGGAGAGTAGGGCAAAACGGACCACTGACAGAAAATTGGTAATTTTTGTTTTTTTTTCTTTCCTTCAAATCAGGAACACTGAATGTGTTGAATTAAAAGTGAGTTTCAGGATCATAACCCTCACAGGGGTTGTATAGTTTTTGCTTCCATTCGGAAGCAAAAACTATAAAAAAAAATTGAAAAATTATCAAATTTCTGTCAGTGGTCCGTTTTGCCCTAGGGGTCCGTTTTGTCCGCCTGGTCCGTTTTGCCCTACCCTCCCCTATATTTAAAAACACATTCAGCGAAGAATGGAATCGAGAAGTTCATATGAGGATTTCAATTAACAGTAATAAGAATTGCGCGGTAGGCTAGTGGTTAAGGCGTTTCGATCATTTTTACTGGTTACGACCAGTTTTACTGGCCAATTGCTGGTCACACCAAATTACAAAAAACGCCGCAGGACCTGCCAATTATTATTATGTTAAAAATACAAAACCACATTGTTGAGATGCGAAGCGTCCGAAGCCGTATGTACAGTCGAACACTAAAGTTCGTGAACAGCCTGAAGTTGCATTCTAAGTATTCTGCATACGAACTTCAGTGCTCGACTGTGTTCTCCGTTATAAATTTCTACCCATCCTACCTACGTTTTATCATGTGTATCCCGTAGACACTAAATCCAACAATTTTGTTCCACTCTGTAAATGTAAACTTTGGCTAAATAAACATGTTTTATAGAACAAAAAAAGTGTTTAAGGCGTAGGACTAGTGATGTTAGGGTCATGCGTTCGAGACCGGCTCGGGGTGGTTATTTTAAGTTAAACAAATTAGGGATTTTCACTCAAAGATGCGTTCGGGGTGGATGATTAGAAGATGATCAATCATAAAAGTGATTGAATGAAAATTATTTTTGATTTTTTTAATCATTTAAATCAATAAACCTGACTGGTGACCGAGTCAGGCCCATTTCGGGGCTCAACCAGCCTTGGATGCTTATCTTGGCCCATGACTAGCCAAGGTCGGGCCGCCCTTCGACCAAGTTTGTACCACTTGTTAATTCCTACCTGGGCTAACTTCTCTTTCCCGTTGCAGGCATGCCTTTTGGCGTTGAGCACAGCGAGACGAGTGGAGATTCGTCCGCGCGTGGCCGAGCCCCAGGTGTACTACGAGGATGAGGACGCCCAAGTGGAAGAGGAATACTCCCCGAGTTCCGAGATCTACCAGCCGAGAACCCGAGCCCTCCCCTCTCCCCGTTCCAAGGACACATTGAACCCCTCCAAAGCCCCACCAGTCCAGACAATCCGAAATTACAACAAAGTCAACGACGACGGGTCATTCACCTTTGGTTACGAGGCAGCGGACGGTTCCTTCAAGGAGGAGACCCGCGGAACGGACTGCGTGGTCCGGGGAAAATACGGTTACGTCGATCCCGACGGTAACAAAAGGGAATTCACCTACGTCTCGGGGAACCCCTGCGATCCAAACGCCCCTAAGGAGGAGGAAGACGACGACTTGCCAAGAAAAGCCGACGACGATGACCTTCCTGGACCAGCGAACTACCCGTCTGTTCGCCCGCGTCCGGTCCAGAACTACCCGAGAACAACGACCCCGCGAGCCCCAACCACCATCTTCCAGACGGAGTACGCCCTCCAGGACGACGACGCGAGCCAAGAGCTGGAAGAGGAGGAGCCGAAGGTCCTCATCAGGCCGACGGCCTTCCGCAGCCGCCCCCGCCCGAATTACCTCCAGGTGAACCCGATCCAGGGTGAGTCTCTGTACTCCGTGACCCCAGCGGCAGCCACCACCCAGACTACAGCGGCCACCCCCTACCGCTCCACCCCAGCCCCTAGGTATCAGAGTCTGGCGAGCCCGACCCCCACCCGCTACCAGCCAACTCCGGCCTACCAGGCCCTCGAGAGCAGCTCAACCCCTCGGTCAATCCATCGAGAACGACCCCAATCAGTCGCCATCACCCCACGACCCCACGTCCAGCAGGTGGCAGCCCAGTATGTCTCGCCTAGCAGCACAGAACGCCCCGGGGTAGTTTACGCCACGCAAAGAAGCACCACAGCTGTTCCCCGTGTGTCCCCCAACGACATCCACTTGAATTTCGCTGCTGAACTTGAGCGCTACGTCAACACAGTGCCCGTTAAGAGTCGCCCGGCGCAGCCCAAGGGGCCGATTTATCAGTCCGAGTTGGTCTACGATCCCAGTAGTGGTCAGTACAACACACAACTGTATCAGAGTCTTCCACAGACAACTGGAGATTTTCGTTTGAATCATAAGCTTCAACCTTACGTAGCACAATCCTCCCAGTCGTTGTTGGGTCTTCAGCAGCTTCAGCCGATTCAGCAGGCGTCCAGACCGGCACCGGCGCGGCCGACCCAACCGCAGGAGTCGATTTATCGGCAACAGCAGTCGGAGCAGTTGCTGCAGTCTCAGCAGCTGTATGCTCAACAGCAGCGTCGCCAGCAGCAGCCGGCACTGCCACCGCAGCGGGAACAGCAGCACCAATATTATTATACTCTGGCTCCACAGACCAGAGGGGGCAGTCAGTCGCTCTCCGCTGGGCAAATCGATCAATTCCTTCGTGGTAGCACTGCTGGATTTTAATTGATTTCATTGGAATTTGTCGGTTGAGATTTTACTGATTCGTTTGAGGCAGGTGATGGGTCGGGAGGGGGCACGGTTGACTCAAGTGAATCGTTGAAACTAGATCATTTTGATGTTCTGGGGTCGTTTGCCGTCAGATGACTGCTGTTGGTCGTCGATCGATGGTCGATCGCTGGTCAGCTGTTGATCGCTTGTCAATTGCTGGTCCTTTGTCAATCGGTCGATGGTTGATGGCTGGCTGGTGATCAGTCGATCGATCGTCAATCAGTGGCCAATACGCAATTTTGGTCGGATGATGGTCGATCGGTGGTCAATACTCAATGTTGGCGATCAATTTTGCTGGGCGAAAACATCGGAATCGCTGTACAAGTGCGATGAAGATGAATTTATGGTTCTATATGTGCATGTAGCCTATTCTTATTTTGCCGCGATACCGTAGGGTGAAATCACTGATTAATTAATTTAATTTTTCGAGTGTTTTTATTTTAAAACTTTTTTTGCGTTTAACCCTAGTCTGGTCACCAAACGCGACCCTGCGACTTTGGCCACCTCCGCGGGGATTCCCCGCCGTGTTATTTAGGCTTTAGCGTTGCCGAATTCACTCTACACCGCCCGGGCGCGTTTAGCGAGCTTCCGGCAACGTCGCGTCATGGGCAATTTCATTTAACGTGGGGAAAAATAATTCATCAGTCCGAAATAATTTGGTTTCTTTAGGAATTTTGGGAAATATGTTGTTCTCAAAACGACTATAATTTTTTAGACACTTCAATTGACAAAGTCAAATTTTTTGAATTTTTTCGGTTAGCCAGTCAATTGTAATTGAAGAAAAACGACGCGCGGCGGGGTTTCCCTCATAGGGTGATTAATCTAGGGTTAAATTTGTCATATCAGTAGAGTCGTGGAAGTCCACACCGTCAACGCCCACGTCGTGAATCCTGGGTTACGCTAAGAGCTGGTGGGGTTCAATTATTACACGGAGAGAAATATTCAATAAAAATTACGCATCTTTTCCGTAATTCCGGAGCGAAATGTGATTGTAGGAAATTTGACGGAACTGTCACGGAATTTTTCCGGAGCGTTCCGTAATTTTTACCTTAATCTCCTGTGAAAAATTACGATACCGTCCCTTAAATTTTATGAGTCGACTCCGTAGTCGGTGAGTGAATTGTGAGTTCCGTAATTTTTGCTAAACATTTATCTCCCTGTACCTCACTACTCAGTAAACAAAATTTTCCACGTGTATACCTTTATTTGAGAATTCTAAAATTGAATTTTCGCCTTTAGAACGAATTGTGTAGCCCGGATCATCGGCTATGATGGTTCAGACTGACCATTCTTCTCATTTCCCCCGTAAATAACCCGTAAAATTAGGCCATTTGCACATACAGAAACATAAATTCATTTTGTGTCACACTTATAAAGTCATACCAAGAAATATCCAGAAAAATTATTTGGTAAACCTTCAATGTCGCCTGATAAATACAGTCATTTGATAGTTGTAAATAGTAAATTACCACACGTATTTTCCGAAAGGTTTATACGAATTGATTTGCAATCAACTCTTCAAACAATATTTCAAACATTTTTTTTAATTTCAATTTTATGCAGAATATCAAAATAGGCTGGTTTTAATCATTTTACTGAGTTATATTTGTTCCTTAACGACCCATCGAATAATGAAAAAAAAATGTTGAGAAATCGATGGATTCTATGGTTAGATACTCGTTCAGCAAGTACCAGTTGCCAAAATATAAAGTAGATTTCGCTCTCTTATTATTATTTTTATTATTATTATTATTATTTTTATTATTGAAATAATTCCAGAGATTATTCCAGGGGACGGATTTGTGATTGCGTCGACGTATCCGTCCGGCACATCCAACAATAATGTCGACAATGTATTTGTAAATATTTTATTTTATGATTAATGAATTGTTAGATTTATCTCTTATCTCATGTTTTTTTTTAATAGAGTAAATTAATCAACGGTGATGCCCCATCCTCGTTTCATTTTGTATCCTTCGTATGTGTGAGCAGTGAAGAAATAAAATGTTTTATGATCCTTAATTATCATCTCCCCGAAGTATTCGATGAATAATAAAATATTGGAAAGTTAATATCGAGTGGCTGATTTATTCATTGCAGCTGATGTTAACGTTTATTGGTGTATTTATGTATTCATGAGATGATTGATGTTCTTCAGGAGCATTAGGTTATGCCGGTGAGGACGGGTAAGTGGCGCCACCTAGGACGCGCTGAAATCCTGAACAACTCAATTACCCGAATGATAAAACGAATACGATACAGTTTCCATTCATAAATTCTTCAGCATTCCTCAAATTAAAATTCATTCAGAACTTTATCAAGTCCTGAATTATTTCCATTCATATCTCATTATCCCTGACAGATCCATTTCCCGTCCGGAAATTGAAAGAGAAATGTGATAAAATGGAAAGTGTGCATTCCAGACACGTAGAAATACCTGAGAAAAAAATAGACTAAAATTCTAGTTCTGGTTTTCGTGACACCCGATTGTCTTCTCTCTTGAAAGTTGCAAAATCCGAGGGGGCACGCTAATTTATCACTCCCGGGGCCATGGGTGAGAGTAGACGACAGTAAAAACGATGCGTATACCTTCGAATCACTGTTTTGAATACTAATTGTTGTACAACTTCTCGTGAAGATTTTTAACATCAGGAGACTAGTCGGTTGACGCAACTGAAATACATTTGAAAACATGTGAACTCTTGCGCATCCGGTGATTGATCTGGGAAAGAGTGCAAGTGCTGCATGATCGAAGTCATATCATCGGCTTCCGCTTAGCGGGGGAAAAAAACGTTCATGTTCCCTCGAAAATGGCTGATGAGTGAAAGTGGAAAAGGAACGGATTGGCTCAGACTTGTTGATTTTCATATTCAATGTACGTGAGGTTGAGTTCTATTCGATTCCTGTAATTTTCATAGAACTGGCTTTTAATCTGATGGTGAATAATGATAATCTTGCGGATTATTAATCTGTTTTTTTTTCTGTTTGCGATCCCTGGAAAAAGGACTGAGTGGATTTCGCTGGAATTTTCACTGATACTCAGTTTAGTGGCTGCGTTTCAACGCTCCGAACCTCGCGTGGGCTGTAGTGAATACATCAGATATTTTTTCAATATTTTTTTTAGTACTTCAACATTGGGAAAATTAAAGTTATTGGACGGATATTGTCCGTCAAACGTTCAGCTATTCAATTTCGTTTTCTGCGCTTCTCATTACGTTTAAGTTCTATTTTATGTTACGGGCCCAAAAACCGCGATTGCCAAGCGAAGTGAATTTTTATTTATTCGGATACTCAATTAAGTATAGGAGTAAATAAAAATTTTGATCGAAAGTTTATCGAAGTGATTTCAACAAAAACGTAGTGTATCGATGTATCATCACTAATTGCTAATAATACCACTAATTATGAAGGCTTTAGTCGATATTCAAGACCGAATGTCTGGATGAAAGCATTTTAGGACAAATTCCTAAAATTGTCCAATCTTCGACCCCTAGTAAAAAAAGAGTATTATAATTATTGGACGGATATTGTCCGTCAAACGTTCAGCTATTCAATTTCGTTTTCTGCGCTTCTCATTAAGTTTAAGTTATATTTTATGTTACGGGCCCAAAAACCGCGATTGCCAAGCGAAGTGAGTTTTTATTTATTCGGATACTCAATTAAGTATAGGAATAAATAAACATTTTAATCGAAAGTTTATCGAAGTGATTTCAACAAAAACGTAGTGTATCGATATTATCACTAATTGCTAATAATACCACTAATTATGGAGGCTTTAGTCGACATTCAAGACCGAATGTCTGGATGAAAGCATTTTAGGACAAATTCCTAAAATTGTCCAATCGTCGACCCCTAGTAGAAAAAGAGTATTTTTTCTTCGAATAATATTTAAGATTTTTATGTCCTTCTGTACGGAGAGAAAATATTAATGAAAATTACTTCGGAAATTTCATTATACGAAAGGTAATAAAGAATAGGGGAGGGTAGGGCAAAACGGACCAGGCGGGCAAAGCGGACCATTGACAGAAAATTGATAACTGTTCTTTTTGCTTCTGAATGGAAGCAAAAACAAATTCAAAGTCATTTGTGGTTTGAGGTGATTAGCAAATCTGATGAAATTGCGGTTCAACGACACTTGTTGTCTATAAAATCCCTGTGACGGTGACGATCCAAGAAACTCACTTTTAATTCAACACGTTCAGTGTTCCTGATTTAAAGGGAAGAAAAAAAAACAAAAATTACCAATTTTATATCAGTGGTCCGTTTGGCCCTGCGGTCCGTTTTGCCCTAGCCTCTCCTACGGATATCTGTACGTTCGATAGAAGAAATCATTCGTCACATTATCTTATCAGGCGATAAAATATTTTTTAGTTTGGTGACTTTTAGTTCAATAAATTATGAAAAAGTCTTGTCAATCAAACGTCTTGTTTTCAGCCGGACAAAACTTCTTAATTTAAGACATTCGGAATTCCAACGACCCAGGATTTGGCCAATAAAATACTTTTTTGTAAATAATGTCTTCGATTACGACGTCTTGAAGACACTAGTTTTACACACTGAGAGAAAAATATATTCAATTCAATTTATTTTCCCTGATGTTACAATAGTTCTTTCCTTGTTTTACATCTCCACCAGCCCTTCTTTCTCCACTTCTCTTTATATTATTTATTACATGCTTATATAGATATTTTAAACTTTGAAATTTTAACTAACAATTCAGATAGTTCCTTTTAAGACATTATTTCCATATCTAATTCTTTCTCCCTTTCCTAGAGAAAAAAATATAATTCTTCTGACTATATTCCATCACCATCGAATAATAGTCAAAAAGTCCTCAACAATTTTTCATGGGTCACGGTAACTATGGCCGGAGAAGTAATTACTACAATGGAATGTAGTCATTGCAACTATTTTATAGTTCTCCTCACGATAGATTTGTCATGGTTACTTTTGAACTTTGGTTAGTTTAACTGCATTTTGATTTGCAAAAATTACGCTTGTGAAGTTACAATAATGTTATGTGCCGCATACAAAAAAAATCGTATCGTTCACCAAAATGCCTCAACTATTTTCTTATTGTAAATCGAACTTCAGATTTTTCCCTCAGTGCAGTGGCACCAAAAGACGAATATCTCCCCTCTTGTCGTGCTGAACAACCACACATAGCAAACACATAATTACCTCGATTGTGCAAGCCTAAAAACGCGAAAAAAAAACACCTAACGAGCATGTCATTTCGTTTCCGGAATGTCTTAACGACAAACCTCCCACATGACAATTAAAAAATAAAAAATAATAAAGTCACCTCCAATACTCAATGGAGTGTGTCAACACCAGGTAAATGTTGTTACAAATTTCCCAATCCCAGGCATTTTAATCATTTCTCCAATTTAATAAAACGAGAAACATAATTAATCAGAAAGAAACGCGAATGGCACACGCTGCGGGTGAGAGAGGTGCCTAACAATGGGGGCAATTTTTTTTTAGCTCAAGAACATCGGGAGCAACTGGGGGAAGTAACGAACAATCGGTTTGCGGTTCCCATGAGAAGAATGTTGGTCATTTCACGTGTTATATCCTACAGGCCTGACATGCATCACATCTCAAACCCCTTGATGCAAACGCCTCGACCTCTCATTACAATTAATATCGCATGTGGGCGAGACGTGACTGCACAGAGAAAAAGTTCGAGGAAATTACCGAACGAGGCGAGTAATCAAAGAGCGAACTCCATTTTCAGCACTTTTTCAATCTACACTTTTTTTTATTCAGCCATTAGAGATTTAATACAAGATCTACTAGCTACATATAATACTTGTCATTAGACATTGTATTATGTACAAGTGATCCAGGTTTTCAAGTTTTATCATACTTTTAAATTTTCAGCTCGCTTTCTTTGGAGAAATTGTCTATAGCTTTTATCACTACAGGATTTAATATATTAATACTACACGGAAAAATACATATTTGAATTGAATATAAAATATACTTTAATCAAGCGACATAACAAGAGGTAGTTGAGTGTGTTTCACTATTTTCATCATCATTTTTCTTCTTTTCCCTCTACACTGTTGGAATAAAACTGAAAAATCAATTATTTGAAATAATAATGGTTCTTTTCAGTAAATTATAAGGATTGTTTTTAATAATATTTGCCGTTAGAAGGACGGTGGCGATATACAGTAGTATATAGATATGCTTGTAATGGTGGGAATAATAATGATAATAATAATAATAAAATGTTATAGTTATAAAACTGAAAAATCAATTATTTGAAATAATAATGGTTCTTTTCAGGAAAATATAATGATGGTAGTTGAGTGTAATTTACTATTTTCATCATCATTTTTCTTCTTTTCACTCTACACTGTTGGAATAAAATAAGCTAGATTCAGCCGGTGGATTGTGACTTTTTCCAGTACTCGTACTAGAATTTTTGCAGAAAATTTCTCTCCATGTCCGTTTTGCCCTACCCTCCCCTACGTAATTTTTATGGAATATTTCTCTGATTTACCGGACGGTGACACTGAATGCGATTTAGGAGGCAAAAAATCACGAAATTTCAGGTGTCACGGAAAATTCAGTAAAATTGCAGAATTTTAAGCAGCATAAAGACGAGAATTCCTTAATCTATTTGAATTTTTAATCTAATATGAATATTCAGTGCCCAATTACATTGAATTTTTAGTGAAATCTGAAATTTCATGGTTTTTTCCCCCTAAATCGCATTCAGTGTCTCTGGCCTGAAAATTCCAGAATAAATTTACCGGAATTTTCCGGTTTTCGATGAATCGCTATTTTCATTTTTTTTTAAATTGAATTTTATACTTAAATTTCAAGAAGTGAAGTTCACTTGTTGGTATAATTTTTTATGAACTTCTGGATAAATTTTATCATTTCAAGAAGAATTTTATGACACTCAATAATTTTTTTTAAGTAACCAAGAAAATTCACCATTTAATTCCCCTTTTTTCCTCAACACAGAGCAAAAAGGCCATAACCGAAGTTTCACTCCACAATTCCTTGAGTTTTCCACCAATTGCCCTCAACGTTTTTCCTCCAGAAAAAATCCGGAAGTTGAAAAATCGATTGAGATGGAAAAAATAATTCATCGACGACAGCAGATAACAAATGTGAAACACAGAGGAAATTGCGTGATGTAATAATTGTCCTGGGTATATGTGAGACTGTGGATCCCTTAGGGAGCTCCTCCCCCTCGTAGAGTGTTTGCAAATCCACAATAAGACGTATTGCACACTATGGGAACTATTGTTACACATTTTACAGTACATCCACTGTTTCTTACATCTCTTGGGCGGTCGCTTTAGACTCCCACGTGGCTTTCACTTGTCCCCCGCGGATCCTAATGTCCCATTCGCATAATTCTTTTTTTTAAACAAGTGTTTTCTTCTCGCGAGGTAACATATTCGTCATCATTCTCTTCTCGAGAAATGTCTAGACCATTTTTCTCAATGTCTTAATTTTTGGAGTTTATTTGGGAACAAATTGCCTTTCAACACTTCCCTTCTGGACGAAATGCAAGTCTTCTGTTCAATTCAATAAAAATGTTTTAATGATATAAAAAAATTAATTCATTCCAAATAAAGAATTATCACATGTTAATGAATTGGTTTTCTTCGTCATCTAAACAATGATTTCATTGCTAGCTACTTCAACTATTTATTTGGATCAATTAAATATTTGTTTATCTTTGGAAAACTATTTTATTTGAATAAAAGTAAAAATAAAAATTTAGTTGAAGTTTGGATCGAAGTTTCAACACGTACTATTTGGAAAAAAAACAATCTTTTTGATTCAAAAGTTTAAACAAACTTTAAATAAAGTTTATTTCATTGAAATTCATCATTTCTCTCGGTGTGTACATATGGTCAATGAATTTGATACCCTTCTTCTCATTTTTAATTAAATTTATATAAATAAATGACGCGTTCTAGCGGAATATCGCTCATCTTAATTGTCTTTGTGATGTAATCTTCCTTTTGGATGAAATTTTATAAGTTTTGTCCACATGCAAACAACAACTCACTCACGAAAAATTTCCGTAAAAGAAACTGGTAAATTCGATAGAAAATGCCATCAGCTTTTGACTGATTCTATTAAACAATTCCGCGGCATTACTGTTCTATTTTTTCATAGGAAATTTCCAATACTCAACTTTCTAGACAACTTTTTCCATTGAGGCATTTTTTCCCATCCATTTTTCTTCTGTTCTCATTACGAAAATCAAAGAAAAAACCGAAAATTTTAACCGAGGGATTTCTATAGAAAATATTTTAATAGAATAAATTGTATAGAATGGAATTATATTGCAATTTTCTATAGAATATTTTCCATTAAACATTTCTGTTGAAAACAACATGCAGATGAGTTGCGGGATTTTTTAATAGAATCGGCTAAAAGCGAATGGATAGTTCAATGAAAATTCAATACTACTTTTCAGCGAATTCACTAGGTTTTTACAATTTTTTTCCATCTAAACTGTTTTTTTTTATAGAAAAGATCAGTAGAATGATTTTCCAAGTTTTTTCACATCCATTTTTCACAAAAATCTCGAAAATTTCAGTTAAAGGATTTTCATGGAAAACATTTCAACAGAATAAGTTTTATAGAAAAATGGAATTCTACGATTTCTTCAATAGAATATTTTCCACTAAACATTTCTATTGAAAAAAATTCCGATGAGCTGCAGAATTTTTCGATACAATCGGCCAAAACCGAACAGACAGATCAATAAAAATCCAACAGAATTTCACAGCAAATTCGCTAGATTTTTTAAGATTACTTTTCGTATGTGTCTCTCATCAATTTGATCATATTCATATTCTTCTAGATATTTTTTTTGTTTCTTATAATTCCACATTACCCACGAAACATCTGCAATTAATTCACATGATCCTCACCTAAAAAAAATTCGAGCGATTCGCACTTGTCAGGAAAGTTACCTCATTAGCCACCTCATTAATCCCGAGAAATGACGAGTGATTTTGAATGGCCACATATCAAGGTCTTTCCGCAGGTATCACCAGATGCAAATGAGAGTGAATAGCAAAAAAAGGAGCGGGAGCTGTGGCGGAAGAAAAGGGAAGGGGATGTAGTCCTATTGTGTCACTCTATATATAACCGAGGACTGGCACCCCACGCGGTATTGTCAACATTCACCGCATGTGCGGGTAACATGGTTTCCAGTTGTAAGGTACCTGAAGAGTCACTTTCATTATTCCGTTCTCCACCGGGTTTTGTTCAACCCCTGTTCTGTGACAGTGCACGTTGGCCCAGTTTACCATTCTGTGGATTGTAAGAATCACGGGATGATTCTTTTTTTTTGTTTCAAGATGACGCCATGGCTGATGGCAGTGTTCTGCCTGGTTACAGCGGGCTGTCTCAACGTGACAGATCAGCAGACCAGCGAGTCAACACAGACCGAGCAAGTTGCTATTCTCAAGCAAATTCGGAAGGTCAATGACGATGGGTCGTATACTTTTGGCTATGAGGCTGGTGACGGATCGTTCAAGGTAGGTTTATGGAATTCTGGGTGATTATTGATGACAAAATTTGAGGAAAAGAAGTTGATGATTCGAGAATATTCGGAGGAGTTTGCAAGCTGGGTCTAATTATTCGGTTATCACGTGTGAGAACATTTATAGGAAACCGGATAGGACTTCCTATAGGATTTCCTGCGGAGAACGCGAACATTTCCCGTCGGACTTTCCTGATTATAATTTTCTGGATGATGTGTAGGATTTCCTATTGCAGTTCTCGTAGGGTTTTCTAGAGGAGATCTTGTGAAATTTTTCCCTTTCGAGTTCTGTATAGGATTCCCTAGATTTCCTTGATAGGGATTATGAAGAGGTCCTGTAAGGGTTATATGCAGGTCATAACGAGGGATTGCGAGGTTTATAAAAGAACTGCTATGAGGTTCTTGTGATTTTAACCCCTCAAGTATGGCGTCCATGCCACATATGGACCCGAGAGCTCTGTATGTCATATAGACCCTTTCCGTGATTAATAAAAATTCATTATCTTTTGTACTATTGTAGATTTCGAAATTCTAAAAATTTCCCCATGAAATAGATAAAATTATCAACAAAATGCGACTCGATTTTTTTTTCCAAGTGATTTTTAATATTTTTTTTCAATACATAAACAATACGGAACTGAATTCGATGTCAGATGCAGATTCAAACCTCTTATTTATCAAGCTAATTTTCATCAAAAATTATGAAATTTTTACCGAACATAGTCTATACATTCCTGTATCGAATAACGCAAACGAGATTTCGATTCAGTGAATTACTGATTTGTTATTAACAAATTTCTGACAATCGCCGATCTTGGCAACCGTTTGTAATATCGAACTGAGATTAGTCTTAAAAATTCCAGAAAAATCTGTATAAAGGAATATCGTAATTGAACAACTTATTGGTGAAAGCTCAAGATTATCATTAAATTTTAGGTGATAATTTTTTGATCATCAGTGTAGAAATTGTTGCGGATTGAACAAAGAATGCGAGTAGACGGTAGGCCGCCGGCCAATGAGGACACTACGCGATATGGGCGCCGTATTTGAGGGGTGAACACTCCGTTGGTCGCGTCGTAACCGTCGCACCACACCAGCGTAAAACGACAATGATAAATTTGAAAGATCTAGGAAAAATCTGAAAAAATGAAGAGTGATCTAGATCGTACTTGCAGAAGTCCCGTGAGTTTTTTAATGTTCAGTCTTATCCTAGATTATATACTCAAGCTCAAAGTTGCCCTGTTCTTCCGAAAATTCGCCTTATACACGGGACGCGGTCCGGAGTTTCGGAATAAAAATTTGAAAATCCAACTACCTATGATATTTTTGGCGGACATTCTCATGGATAGAGCTTCTAGACACTCCAAAATGGAATGTCAAATTGTCCCAAATTTTTCTGAGGCTTTACTGCAGTGTAATTTGAAAAATCGAAAAAAGTCTGACGCTGCGCTCATAGTGCGATCAACGGAATGCGAACAAGGTTTTAATGAAGGTATGGGTACCTTAGGGAGGCCCTGGAGAGTGTTATGACTTTTTCTTTAAACTTCAAAGTAATTTTCAACTAACGATTTTGTTGGCCCAACTAAGACTTGATTGAGAACTTGTTCGTTTTTCCCTCAGTGTATGATGTTCATATTATACCTCATGTAGGGTCTCCTCATAACCGCTGTAAAGGAAATCCTATAGATAATCCTACAGAAACCCCTATAGGAAATCCACTAAGAAGTCCTGCAGGTAACTCTATAGAAAAAGCTTGAATTCTCCAAAGCATTTTGTCACACGTGATGGCTTACCATCTTCCCATTTCACGTTAATATTCTCGCCTCAACAACTATATTATAAGACCACCCGGCCGAAGAACAAATCAGAACCCCAAAATTTGTCAGGTCGAGACCCGCGACGTGCTTGGCAACGTCAAAGGTACCTTCGGTTTCGTCGACGCTAATGGCGAAATAAAGAGGGTCACCTACTCTTCGTCAAACGGGACAGGCTTTAAAGCAACGACGCTATCACCATTGCAGGAACAAGTCTCGGTAGTCCAGAGTATCCCTCGTTCCAACCGCAGTTCAAGCACGAGAAAGCCTACTGTAGTCTACGCAACATCAACTGAGTCCTCCTCGTCGTCATCCTCCTCCGCAAAACCCTCTTCCGTGGTTCAAACGATTCCCCGAGGCCGAAAGACAACGACGACATCCAGCACGACAACAAGTACCACTGAGACCCCACGACCGACATACGGACACTACAAGACCCTGAAGAACCGTCCACGTTACTTCATCAACGGCCAACAAAGGCCGCCAGCAGTGTCCGTCGAGGAGGATTCGAGTGAAGACTCCCAGATCAATCGTCCTAGTACAGATGAGAAGGTCGCCACCTACCGACGGATCCTCTTCGCCAAGCGTCCGATCGATCACAACCTGCGACCGATAACGGAAGAGTTCGAGGAGAAGGAGGAAGAGCCCCGGGCGAGCAGCGGAAACGCCCTGAGACGACAGCTTCAAGAAGACACCACAAAACCAGAAGTCCAAGAAGTCCACGAAGCGACGGACGAGCATTCCGACGTCTACGGTGGCGCGCTCTCGACGACGAGACCCCTGTTCACCACCAGCAGTCCCCCTCGTATCCTTCACCGCTTGCGATCAGAACGACCAAAGCTTTACCAGGTGACTCCCCCAGCCCAAGAGAATATCGGACCAGCTCGCTTCGACAATCCAAAGTACGAGACCACCAGAAGTTACGAAGCGTCGACCAAAGCAGTTGAAGAACGTGAGGAACGCGAGTCAACCCCACCGATCGTCTTCCGTCCCTCAACACGAATCCCAGACAGGGACTACGCTCGACAGACGACGGAGTCCGTCTACGTCCGTCAACCACCAGAACAGATTCTCCGGGATATCTCGTCTGGACTGCTGGTGCAGCAGAACATGGAGGAAGACGGCTACCGACCAACGCCCGTTGGACGAATCTTATACAGACCTCAACCGAGGGCACCGATCTACCCAACCACGACAGACGCCAACGTTCAGTACCTGACGGAGAACCCGATCACAGAGCCAGACCCACCGAGAGCTTACATCCGACCGAGACCGTACGCCAGACCCCTGCCCTACGATCCCGAGCGACCGCGACCAGTTCTACGACCCATTGACGACCGGGAATACGACTACAGTTACCGAAACATAGCACTTCCCCCAGAAGCGCCCAACCCTTTACCACCTCCCCTCAGCAGACGAGACTTCCAAATCCTCCTGAGACGTCTCTTGATCAGCCAATACGGACCTCAAGCGTTGACCTACCCCAGGACCTACCTGGAAGACGCTCTGTACGACCAGACCCCCTACCCCACCTACCAGACGGGTTATCAGGTCCCAGGACGCCAGGCCCTCATCTACGAGCCTCACATAACCTCAAACAGATACGGCGACCGCGGCCCTCTCCGTCCGATCCTCCCCAGACCCGTCTCGCCGATAGACCCAGGGCTCTATCAGACCCCCAGGTACCCCGATGACTACCAAGACCCCAGATACATGAAACGCGTCTACAGACAGAAGTTCTATACCCAGGAGATGGCTGACGAGTCGGAGAACGACGGCGAGGAGATCCTCCCGCCGCCGATCCGCGAGGCCCTCCTCCTCCGGATGCTCCAATTGGCGATCCATAACGATCGTCCCGTCTCCATGATGTCCAGCTCAACAACCCCATCCCCCTCCACACCCTACAAGAAATCCGGGCCGACAAGGAGTGTTCAAATAATCTCGGATGACGACGACAAAGACGTGAGAAAAAAAATGTAAAACAGAGAGTTCATAATTCATGTACTAGACGACTTTTCACGTGTGAAAACATTCAATAGAAAAAACGGGGAATTCGCTAGAAAATTCTATTGGAATTTTATAGAAATTTTATGGGGTTTCTATAGACTTTTTATTAGAATTCTGTTGAAAAATTTTATTTGTTTTTTGCGCTGATTCTGTTGGATATTTGATAAGAAAAACTGAATAGATTTCGAATTTCTGTTTGAATTTTTCTCTTAACCCTTAAGTGGTCGCAGCTCTCCGCCGAACGTATTTGGTTGCACGTTAAGAGAATCCTCGTACCGTGCGTTTTACGATTTCGAGAAAAAAAAAATTGAGGAAAAAAATTAGTTCCACGTTCACAGGTAATTTTGAACTTTCAATGAATAAGAAATGGGGGTATGGAAACGAAATAGTTGTCAGATAATCCAAGAACTCCATTTGAAAAAGTGCAAATTTATGAAATTTTGAGCTTAAACATGGAGATTTTCAACGACTCGAATTTTCAGAAGATTTTAGTAATTCACTGGTGTAAATTCGAACCGAAAAAAAGATGTCGATGTGTTCCATATATGTGAAAGTAGGAATATAAATTTTTATAGATTTTTTATTCACAAAGTTTTTGTGTGAAAATAAAAAATTAAAAAACGGTGGGGATTCCCTCAGGCGGCCACTTAAGAGTTAGGATTTTTTCTATAAGAATGCTTGGGCATCAATTTTCTAAGTTTTCTCCACTCGGATTTCGTAATGCAAAACAAAACCAAATCCAGCGGAAAAAACTTGGAAAATTCGTGCCCAATAATTCTAATAGAAAAAATCTCAAGAGAAAAATTCGAATAGAAATTCAAAATGTATTGACTTTTTCCTATCAAATGTGCAATAGAATCAACGCAAAAATCAAGTACAATTTTCCGATAGAATTCCTATAGAATTCCAAAAGAATTTTCCAGCGCATTCGCTAAGTTTCCTATTGAATTTTTTCATGCGTGTTCTTATGTGGATCACCACAACTTCCGTAACGGAAGTGATACTCCATCTTGATCAGACCGGAACGTATAAATAAGAGTGAAAACAAGTGTCTCAATCCAGCCGATGGGAAAATCGGTGGGAGAAACAAAATACCGAGGGAATTTCACCTGTGGGGGAATTACTTATTCGTCATTCTCCTTGATCACAAGTATTTATAGGTTATGCTGATTTATCCAAGGTTGCTTCATTCACCAGATGACGCACAACTCTATTCTATAAGTTAATCGTGGGAATTGTTATCGACCTTGCCAAAAAATACAAATTGTAACGACAAAATATAACTGTAAATATTATATTTTTATTGAACTAGTGTGATAATTGAATAAAAAATAAAACGAATAAAGTGATGATGGAACAGATCCCGACTATAGTTCTCACATTAATTTTGCAAGATATACTCCATTGGATATCTGAATGGAAAAATAACCCAGGTTGTACATAATTAGCAATGCGCAATTGCAACACTCGGTATAAGTCGTTGTACTTAGCGTCACTGGTGGGCAACAACAGACGAAACGTAATAAAAAAAAAAGAGACAACATCATCGCTCATGGGATCTGGGCGCACGTCGGTTCCACGCATCGGTGACTCCCTGGTCTCAATTCCTTTTTTGCTGTTTTTTTTATGACTTTTCTCACGCGCCCCACCTACGGAGCACTGCGAATTCTCTGGCTTGTCACTTCTTAATTGGTCTTTATCGCAGAGAACGGAACATAATGAAAGTTACTTTCATTTGAATCTTACCACGGAGAGAAATGTTTAGCAAAAATTAACAGTTTTTGATTCGGGGTGTTTGTGTCTAAATTAAATTCTATTAAACGTCGGGAAATTATTTACTTGAATGAAATCCGCTTTATTTGGATCAAATTCAGTAGCGAAGCGGTAAACCGGTTTAAGTCGATTTAGACTATTGGTCAGTTTTTAATGAATATCTCGGAACCTAAGGAACATAGAAATTTTTTCTAATGAACTTTTTTGTAGCTCTCAGTTCGCTCTACAAAAAAGGTTGTAATGAAAATTTCGCTATTTCTCTTGAATTCGGAGATATTCCTCGAAAACTCAGCGAAGGGCTAAGTCGACTTAACCCGGTTTACCGCTTCGCTACTGAATTAAAAGGTTTTCATTCGAAGTCAACCTTGATTTTTATTTGACGTAGGGAATGAATTTATTCACATGTAATATGAATAAGATATTCATCAAAATTTGGCCAAAAGTCAAAATCGACTTAACTCGGTTTTTGATTCGGGGTGTTTGTGTGTAAATTAAATTCTATTAAACGTCGGGAAATTATTTACTTGAATGAAATCCGCTTTATTTGGATCAAATTAAAAGGTTTTCATTCGAAGTCAACCTTGATTTTTACTTGACGTAGGGAATGAATTTATTCACATGTAATATGAATAAATCCATGCGTACGTGATTTTAAAAGAGAATTTATTTGGGATGAAGGAATTTGCTCATTTCATACAATTGAAGCATTTTGATTGAAATGAATACATAACTTTATTCATTTAAAACACAAATATTGCCCCAATGAATGAAAAATTTTTGAATTAATTATCTATTTCATAAAAACTCAAACTTTTAATCGGACTAAATATATATGAGTGTATTAATTTCCAGCAAAAATATCGTTTCAATGCAAAATTTCAAAACGAAAATTTCGTTCTGATGTAAATGGATAACCCTTATAGTTGACAATAGAATACAATTCTATACAGAAATTTCTACTAAGTTTTTTTTCCCCATCTGAAAGTGATTGTCATTCTCGTCTAGTCTACTCTGGTCATTTAGCAAACGAAATTGCACTTTTGTTTGTTGGATGGTGACACTTGTCACAACGCCTCAATTTATGTTTTTTACCGTGAATATTAGGAAATTGTCGTTGCAACAAAAGGCATGTGGATTTATGCACACGGGTATTACAATGAATCGAGGAAAAAGGAAATGCCACATATACGAAAGAGGAAAAGACGCTAATGACAGTGTTAATAATGTCGCAGAGGCAGCTTTCTCCTTCAATTAAATGAAATTAGTGGACTGCTGTTATGAAATTAAAATTAATATGTGAAATTAATAAGAAAATACATTAGCGCTGGGGTTGAACAAAAAAAAAATTTACGGTGAATATTGACTGAATCAAAAAATAACGAATTGTAGTTGACTATTTTTTAATACTCTTATTATTATCAACTTGATTTGCGAAGCATCTGTTTTCTCATTGTCTCTGAGTCTACAACTCATCGCCCCTCAATGCAAGTGTGTTTATTCATGTGCTCATCGCCGTCATCGTTGCCATCAATCTTTCTCCTACTCTTTCCCATCTCCGATTATTGGATACGTAAATTCAGTAGCGAAGCGGTAAACCGAGTTAAGTCGATTTTCACTTTTGACCAAATTTTGATGAATATCTCGGAATCTAAAAGAGATAGCAAAATTTTTCGCACGCACTTTTTTATAACCCTCAAGTGGCTCTACAAAAAATATCTTGACAAAAATTTTTCTATCTCTTTTAGATTCCGAGATATTCGTCAAAAACTGGTCAATAGACAAAATCGACTTAACTCGGTTTACCGCTTCGCTACTGAATTATACATTGCGTCCGCTACTAATGTACTGTTCCAACGTTTACTACTTTGAATTGGACGCAAACGATCAATTTTTTATCAGTTTTTGTCACTGTCAATGGATTTAACGTGGGGACAACATGGGACTACATTGATTATACACCACACACTTGAACCGAGTAGAATACTCTGCAGAACTGTCAGCTTGGAAAAACGAAATGGTCACTTCGTGGGACATTGCCACTTTTTCTATGTATTTTCATACAATACCGATAATTATACAGAAAGTTTTGAAAAATAACGCAATACGCGTAGCTGATTGCACGTAAATTAATTTTTTCACAAAAAAAATCGAAGCTTATAACGTCAATATTATAATGGAAAACTTTATTTAAAAATTTGGATTTTGTGTTCAGCGATTGAATCAGGGCTCCATCCCCTCCGGAGATCTACACTCGAAACACCTTAACCCTAGTCTGGTCACCAAACGCGACCCTGCGACTTTGGTCACCTCCGCGGGGATTCCCCGCCGTGTTATTTAGGCTCCAGCGTTGCCGAATTCACTCTACACTGCCCGGGCGCGTTTAGCGAGTTTCCGGCAACGTCGCGTCACGGGCAATTTCATTTAACATGGGAAAAAATAGTTCATCTCTCCGAAATCATTTATTTTCTCCAGGAATTTTGGGAAATATGTTGTGTTAAAAACTATTATAATTTTTCAGACACTTCAATTGACGAAGTCAAATTTTTTTGGATTTTTTCGGTCAGCCAGTCAATTGAAATTGAAGAAAAACGATGCGTAGCAGTCTTTCCCTCATAGGGTGACCAATCCAGGGTTAACAATATATATGAATCGTCTTATCAGTGCGGACACACATGTATGACTATCACCTCAAACAACTGAAGATCACTTCTGCGAAATTATTCAATCGAGATACCACATTGTTTACTTCATAAAGAATGTTCTATATTTAAATTCCTGTAGCTGTGAATCACCCGGTATCTTCGAAAAATTCCACTTGTCCATCGAGATTGAGATAAAACAGTCGTGGAGTACTGAGAATTCACCTCGATCACTGTGTGTCGATCGATTAATTACCATTGATTGAAAAAATACACATGTATAATTAAGTGTCTACTCTACTTAACCGAGAAAGAGAATACTTTTACGTAACACCGATGATGGAGTTGTTTCAAACGACTCGACATCGATAAGAAGACAAATATATTTCCCATGGATGGGAAGAGTCTGTTCCTGCCTATGTAACATCCCATCACTTCCGCAGGATGAGTAATAAGTTTTAATGACTCCCGGTTACTTCCCAGTTCAGTTGTTGGTCGATTCGACGGAGTGCTTTGAGTGGATCGAGGATGACCGTGGGACCTCGTTGAGGCTCTCGATGTCTTCCACGTCGTAGAGATCGTACGGCTCGGTTTGCACACCAACATCCTCGTAATCCAGTTCAAGGGCGTCCTGCTCGTAAATAACATCGTGACTGCGTGGTCGGGCTACGGAGGGTATCCAGGGCTGGGGTACGCCTTTTCCCAGGGCGAGGAATACCGCCGCGGTTATAAGGAGAACCAGTGAAGCGACGCCGAAGACCAAACGCCAGGAACCAGCGATCTGTGACGATTTATTCATTTTAGAGTTTTGTGCATGGGGTGATGGGATATGGTGATTTTTTACGGGACAGGACTTTTTGACGCCACACACCCAAATCATGTTAAAAGACACCCAAATTTAGTATTTTCTCGGGGCGCCAAAAAGTCACGTACCGGATTTTTTATGGGATTTCGTGGTTTAAAGGGGGGGGGGGGTGATTCACAATTTTTTTACTGAAATTTCGGCAATTTTTTGCTTCCGAGAGAAAGCATTGTAATGGTTCAATTTTGGTATTCTCTAATTTTGATTGAAAATGATGCAGAATTGTCTGAAACGTAAAAATACAAAGTTTGGCGACCAGCGATCACCATCAATATTAAATTTCTGTAATATTACAAGAATTTGCCCCTTACATTAATGAAGGTGTAAGAATATGCTGATCAAATTTTATAAATAGTATAATATTAATAATCGATTTCTTCGGTGAATGATGAATTAAAAATTTCATAATATGGAACTGTAAATTTACCACTAAGCAAATAATTCAAATTTCTTAAAAGCGGGATTTTTCGGTTACTCAAATAATCGTCAATCTTCCTACCTCAATTAATGATTGATAAAATAGTTAAAAATTTGAATATTTGAATTGAATACTTGAATAATCAAAAAATTTAAGAGTGATAATGACTAATTGACGGCTACAAAATTCAAAGGTTATCGTCTTTTAAAAAAATAATGTAACATCTATTCCGCCATGAATAAGTTAGGAATAATTCCTTCTTAAACTTAAATACCATACTTATTTTATATGTCTATTATATATGTATGCCTATGTATTTGTTACATTTATAATTTTTATTTGTGTATATATATATATATATATATATATATATATATATATATATATATATATATACATATAAAATTATTATTAATATTATTATTATTTATTTAAAATATAGATATATTTATATTTTAAATGAATAATAATAATAATAATAATAATTTTATTTTATTATATTATAAACATACATACAAACATACATGGAATATACGCATGTGGTTGCTTGGATGATAAAGTTTAAATAAGGGTGAGAAACTGAGGATCAGAATAACGGTTGAAAAATAACGCCAAATTATGAAATGAAGAAAAAATAACAGTTTTATACTGTGAAATATTTTGTTTGTAATTCTCAATAAATTACAGAAGCATCAAAAAAATTTTTTTGTGAAATTACAGAAATCGAAAGTTTTCCCCTGATTTTTTCTAAAAAATAAAAACCAAATATTTATTTCTTTCCATTTTTAAATTATGGTGGGAAATGATATACTAAAAGGAGAGATAAAGAGAGGAGATGGAAAGTGTGAAGAATTGAAGTTTTCCCCTTCGATATGAAAAAATGAACAATTCCGTGTGAAAAAAATAATCCTGCGTATTACCGATCCATGAAGTGCCTGTGTGACGAAGTAATTGGCAGCTAGAAGTCCAGCCGCGCCTAATGTGGAGCACAGTGCACAGGCGGCTGCTGCACACGCGGGGGACTCTGCGGGCGCGAGGTCAGCTATCGCGGCTAACGCCCCGGCGGGAGCTGTTCCTGAGACAAGAAGAGCGGCTATTCCCAGCCAGGCTGCACCCAGCGCCTGACATCCTGCGTAACCAGCGACGAATAGGAGAGCTGCAGGTATGAAATGCGCTGAAAGATGTCAATTGCAGGTATTAATCGTTCCGCGGATGACTTCATCGCGGTATTACGCGATGTTGATCCTTTTTATTATGAAGGAGCGATAAAATCTGTGGTATGTGTTGAGAAAAAACAATTTTGTTCGCAACTTATAGAGTTGAAGAATTCATGTTTAGAGATTTTCCGCTAAAATCAGATTCAAACAAAACAAATTTCAATTTAAGACTTACGATCTCAAATTGAGACTTTTGAATATCTTAAATTGAGTTCTGTAAGTCTTAAGTTGAGATTTTTGAATGTCTTAATTTGAGATTAAGATTCGAATCAGACTTTCGAACGTCTCAAAGTGAGATTTTCGAATGTTTCAAGTTAAGATATTCGAAAGTCTCAACTTAAAACTTGAAAATCAAAATTTAAGACTCAAAAATTTCAATTTGAGCCTTAAAAATCTTAATTTCAGACTTAAAAATCTGTATTGAAACCTCTAAAAGTCTCAAGAGATGTTAAAGTCTCAAGTTGAGACTTTCGAAAGGGTCAATTTAAAATTTCTGAAATCAAAGGAAGGTTATCAATATTATCAAAGTGTATTTTTTAATTAGTTTTTACTTCTATTTATTATCAGTGTACACTGTACACATATCGAAGAAGTAGGCCCTTTTCATAAGGACGTCCGCAAACAAGAAATAACGATTATTCCTTCCACAAGGAACTACAACAAAACAGATAATAATACTTTATGATTCTAAACACAACGCAGGTCTCATCCGAATGTACGAAAAAATATTCTAGTAGTAATCCTACGCATTGTGTGTGAGAGTCGACAAAATCACCGGTCATTCTCGCTCATTTTTCCGTCTACCGTTTCATCCAGATGCTTACAATAAACGAAATGACCGAAGAGATTTATTTAACCCTACACTGATAGAACGATTTAGTCGAACCAAACGAGACTTTTTAACTATTACCACGATTTGTTAACTATTAATGAATTGTGGTAACAGTTAAGAAACCTCGTTTGGTGCAACTGAATCGTTCCACCATTTCTATCAGTGTAGTCTGGTCACCAAACGCGACCCTGCGACTTTGGCCACCTCCTCGGGGATTCCCCGCCGTGTTATTTAGGCATCAGCGTTGCCGAATTCACTCTACATTGCCCGAGCGCGTTTAACGAGTTTCCGGCAACGTCGCGTCATCGGCAATTTCATTTAACATGCGAAACAATAGTTCATCTGTCCGAAATAATTTGTTTCCTTTAGAAATTTTGGGAAATATGTTGTTTTAAAAACTATTATAATTTTTTAGACACTTCAATTGACAAAGTCAAATTTTTTTGAATTTTTCCGGTTAGCCAGTCAATTGTAATTAAAGGGTGACCAATCTAGGGTTAACAGACTTTCAATTTGACAAAAATTGAATTTAACAGAGGTTCACTTTCCCGAAATTGATTCAACCACTCTATTCCTTAGCTTCTCCCAGTCAAAAATGGTCTCAACGGCGGTATGAGTTCAAAAATTTATATTGAAAGAAATCACAAACAATTTTGTATAATTCTGTCAACGTTTCCAACTCTCAAGGAGCCTTTCATCAGGACAATATTTATTCTACACAAAAATTTTATAAATAAATATTGTCCCGATAAAGAGTTCATTGAGAGTTCGAAACGTTGGCAGAATTAAATGAAATTGTTTGTGATTTCCTCAATTAAAATTTTTAGATTCATACCGCCGTTGGGACCATTTTTGGCTGGGAGAAGCTACACGGAGAGAAATATTCAATAAAAATTACCAGAAAAAAGACGTAAAAATTATGTTTCGAAACGTAATCTCGGAGCGAAGTAAAATTCAATAAAAAGTGTCAATCGCCACGTAAATTCTACGATCTGTTCCGTAAAAATTACTCATCCGTCCGACGCCTCACGGCTAGCCATGAGTCACCGTGAGGGGGAGATTTTAACAACACGTTCCGTAATTTTTCCGGAACTTTTCGTAAAAATTCTTAAACATCCAAGAATTTTCATGTTCTGAGGCATAATAAGTCTTGAAGTTTCTGTTAGATTTTACAACTTCCAGAAAAATTACGTGACTTTTTCGTATTTTTTCGGTGACAGACCCGAAAATTTACTGAACGTTTCAGATTTATTCTCTTATATTCCTATAGAAATTCACTGAAAACGTTTCTCGCTTACGGATTACGTGAAATTTTCCGTAATTTTTCTTGAATATTTCTCTCCGTGTAAGGAATAGAGTAGCTGAATCAATTTTGGGAAAGTGAACCTCTGTAAATTCAATTTTTGTCAAATTACACTTCTGTTAGGAGCTCTTTATCAGGACAACATTTATTTATAAAATTTTTGTGTAGAATAAATATTGTCCTGATGAAAGGCTCCTTGAGAATTCGAAACGTTGGCAGAATGAAATGAAATTGTTTGTGATTTCTTCAATTTAATTTTTTGGATTCATACCGCTGTTGAGATCATTTTTAATTAATTTCGGTTGATTTCACAACTTTTTTTAAATTTCTTTATCCGTGTTTCCATTTCGCCAGAAGGAAAATGCATAACATTTAAAAAACCGTTTAATCCCTTCACGCAATAATTCCCATTCTCACGCATCAAAGACCCATTAAATGTAATCACCTGTATAAACAACTAATTTCCTCGCGGTCGTTGTGGAGACTATCTTAGCCTCCCTCACATGATCAACCAGTAATCCGCACATGAGAGCAGCCATAAAGTGTCCAATGTGGGGCAGAGTAGTCAGCACCGAGTCCTATTGACATTACAAGGTCAAATATTACCGCATCAGGATGAAAGTAAAACCTATTTTTTTAAACGATAAACATCTTCATTGTGTCGGACGCCAGTGGACTTACGTTAGCAGTTGAGAAACCGTAAATGAGCTTGAGGTACTTGGTCATACCGAGTGAGAGAGTGGCATCACCCCACTGATTACCCATTGTGGCGACTGCTGACGCCCAGACTGGCACTGAACGCAGCAATTTTCCCCATGGTATCACAGCGGCCTAGAAGATGTCTTTATGAGGCTCGTGTCGTTATTTTTAACTTGTCGATTTATATCGTGTAGTTATTGTAATGGCCGCTAAAATCGAAACTGGAAATTTCATGATATCTTCACGTTTCGTGAGCCCTAGAATCTTTCTATGAAGTCCGATCCAATTTTTTTTTCATGTAATCGATGCGTTTTCACCTAATTCAGAGCTGATTTAATCAAATTTTAAACAACATTGTCTGAGCGGTTTTTAGAGGGATCAATAAAACTAATGAAAAAACGTCAAATTTTTTTTTTTTTTTAATTCCGTTGGTTTTTCTGGAGAGATGACGGGATTGATTTCTCTTCATTAGTCGATGGAATTTTCTGTGACTAAGGCTAGGGTAAATTGCACCCTAATGAATAATTGGGAATTCCATCGAAATTGTCGCAGCGGTTGTAGTTTTCTTGAATATGTATTTTTTGAAATTTTGAAATTTTTTGGAATTTTTTTGTGCGGAATGAATATAAAAGGGAATTAATCGGAAAGTTGTTGGTGTGACCCCACTGCACCCCACGCCTATCAAACACCGCGGAAGTGAGCGATCCACTCATGAAAAAATTCAATAGAAAAACTTTGCGAATTCGCTAGAAAAGTGTATTTGATAAAATACACTTCCTCGTTAAAATTCTATTTGTTTTTTGCGCTGATTCTATGAGATATTTGATAGGAAAAAGTCAATAGATTTAGGTTTTTCTATATGAATATTCTCTTGGATTTTTTTAAATAAGAATACTTGAGCATGAATTTTCTAAGTTTTTTCACTCAGATCCTGTGAATAAAAAAAAACAAAATACAGCGGGAAAACTTGGAAAACCCATGCCCAAGAATTCTAATAGAAAAAATCTCAAGAGAAAAATTCAAATTAATAAATGTAAATCTATTGAATTTTTCCAATTGAATATCTAATGAAATCTACACAAAAAATAAATTGAATTTTGACGGGCTTTGTCTAGAATTTTAATAGAATCCCCATAGAATTTCTAGAGAATTTCAATAGAATTTTTTAGCAAATTCGTAAAGGTTTTTTATTACATTTTTTCATACATGTCGGCCCTGATTTTTATCCCTTAAATTCGATTCCATTAGTTACCGGTAAGAATTAATTCACAATTCTTCTTAATTACACTAGTAAAACGTTTTTGAATTTGATAAATTCCCAAATAATAAGAATTTTCTATTTCAGAGAATTTTTTTAGATTGACAAATTGCATTCAAATTTTGCCCATTTCTATTGGGGAATTTGATAGAGAAATGTGCCATAGAAAAAACATGAGATAGATATTGTTTTTTTTTATGGATTTCATTCTGTCGAGATTTTTCTTTCTATTTTCTTCCATTTTTTTATATTGTTCGGGAAAATTTCTACAGTTTCTATAGAATCGACAGAAAAATTTGTATAAACAAATCAAAAACTGTTGGAATTTTTCCATTGGAAAAATCACATAGAGTAACTGAGGAATTTCTAACAGAAGTAAACGAACTACAAAATTTTCAAATTTGTTAAGTTCTCAAACAGAAAGAATTGCTTTCAATTCCAGAGAATTATTTTTCGTTTGGGAAATTCGAAAATTCGATTGACGAAATCTATTAAAATTTTTCCCGTTTCCATTGGAAGATTCCATAGAGAAATGTGCGTCAGAAAAAAAATAGATTTTAAAAAATGAATTTTATTCCATTGAGATTTATCTTTCTGTTTGTTTCTATTCATTTTTATATTGTTCGGGGAAATTTCTATAATGTCTATAGCATAAATATTAACAGAAGAATTATTATAAGGAAATCGAAAGCTGTTTGCATACAAAAAATCGCGTGGAAAAGCTCTGAAATTTCTACCGGAAATCGACGAAAAAGTAAAAGCATTCCCTATGGACGTGCATGTTGGTTTCTGGCGTGGGAGTATTTGTTTGGTGTACTCACGTTCGTATCATGCTGATAGGATTTCGGAGTATCCTTGACAAAATGGCCAAATGTGAAGTACCAACAGAGGGCTATCAGCACTAGGCCATAACAAAGGGAATCCCTCCCAAATGATCGAACAACTGCAGTCCCTATCCAGCCGGTCAGGCAATACCCAACACTGACAGCTGTGGAAATTACCGGTAATTTATTATTGTCAGTTCATCGTGATTGATCAGGTGCAGTCAGTATCTGCGTCGAGATAAATTTGAGATTTCCATTTTCGATAAAATGATTATGATAATGTCATAATCACAAGAAAGATAAAAAACATAAAACAAAAAATTGTATTGTTTTGTATTATCCCGGGTAATTAGCCCGGGGATAATACAGATTATGATAATCTCAATATTTGTGTGGAGTTGTAATCATTTCCGACGTTCGATTTTTTTGAGAATAACGAGATTGTTTGGGAATTATTGAATTAATGAAATTATTTTTCACTGAGATGAAATCATTAGCGCAGCGGTAAAACCATTTTAGTCAACTTAGCTCTTCACTACTGAAATGAATAAAACCTTTCATTCATTCATTTTATTATTCCATTGCAATCTGTGCAATAAACAATAATTAAGAAATTACCGGACATTTAGATTTTTTCCATACACGGAGAGTAATATTCAAGAAAAATTACGGAACATTTCACGTAATCCGCAAGCGAGAATCGTTTTCAGTGAATTTCTATAGGAATATAAGAGAATAAATCTGAAACGTTCAGTAAATTTTCGGGTCTGTCACCGAAAAAATACGAAAAAGTCACGTAATTTTTCTGGAAGTTGTAAAATCTAACAGAAACTTCAAGACTTATTATGCCTCAGAACATGAAAATTCTTGGATGTTTAAGAATTTTTACGAAAAGTTCCGGAAAAATTACGGAACGTGTTGTTAAAATCTCCCCCTCAAGTGACTCATTGCTAGCCGTGAGGCGTCGGACGGATGAGTAATTTTTACGGAACAGATCGTAGAATTTACGTGACGATTGGCGCTTTTTATTGAATTTTACTTCGCTCCCAGATTACGTTTCGAAACGTAATTTTTATGTCTTTTTTCTAGTAATTTTTTTTTGAATATTTATCTCCTTGTATGACCCTCAATTTCATAGGAAATCCTATTGGAAATCTTATAGGATGTCCTATAGGAAGTCCTATTAAACATCCTGTAAGAAATCCAATAGGAAAAACCTGATAGGAAACACGGAGAGAAATGTTCAATAAAAATTATGTATCTTTTCCGTAATTCCGGAACGAAATGTGGTTGTAGGAAATTTTACGGAACTGTCACGGAATTTTTCTAGAGCGTTCCGTAATTTTTATCTAAATCTCCTGTGGAAAATTACGATATCGCCACTTTAATTTTCTGAGCCGATTCCGGGATCGGTAAGCGAATTGTGAGTTCCGTAATTTTTGTTGAAGATTTTTCTCCGTGACTCCTATAGAAATGTTCGAATTCTTCATAGGATTTTTTCATACGTGCACTATTAAAAATTTTCGTCTGAAATTTCCAGTACACTTTTTGGAAATTTTTATCGAATTTAATTATCACCGAAGTTACAAGGAATTTTGTCATTGAAAATTCAAAATTTCGTGGAAAAATCAAAGAGAACGGTAAATTTCAGTTCCATTTTTCCAGGAAAATGAATCGAAAATCATAAAATTCCGATACATATATTCTGGCATTTTCAGGACAGTGACACTGAATACGATTTAGGGAGAAAAACATAAAATTTCAAATTTCACTGAAAACTATGTAATTTGGCACTGAATATTCATATTAGATTGGAAATTCAAATGAATTAAGGAATTCTCGTCTTTACGCTCCTTAAAATTCTGGAATTTTACTGAAATTTCAGTGAAACCTGAAATTTCATAATTTTTTTCCCCTAAATCGCATTCCGTGTCGCTATTCTGATTAGTAGTCAACTGTCCATGAAATTTCACTTTTTTTAACAGTGTGATACGTCACACATCCCCAGTCACGTACCGACCCGGCCTAAAAAGTTTATTTTCGGACTTTTTGGATAATACTGGGTCGATATAAAACAAAAAATCCCAAATTTGAACGATTACGAAGCTTCTGTTCAGAAGCAAAAAATGAGAATACATTCGGAAGCAAATTGCTGATTTATCAGCAACAATAACTACACTCCTTTATAAAAAATGCAATTATCCACTTATTTTGGGCCAAATCAAACGAGACTTTGTGGTATTATGCTGATAATGAGATTTTTTTTACCTGCGTAACAACTAAAATACCAACTCCGATGATTACTCTTGAACCAGGTCATAGCGAACATGTGAGCAGCTGGCATCGTTGCGCCCTGGACATTCGTAAAAGTATATTACCGTAGTATTCGGGAAATGTCATGTTTCACGAATGTGAGATTTACAGAGCGAGTCGACAGCCAGGCATGTAATTACATTCGCTGAAATGACATTCACCGACGAGTGACTACAAAATAAAATGGATAATTCACTTCTGCCTCTGAAGATGTTTATCCAAAATCGTGAAAACTCACGATCAAAAAAAAAGTCAAGTAATCTATCAAGTTCAAAAAAATTATGATTTTTTAAAACTGATTGACAGATTCATCTCCTTTATATTGCTAAAAACTTCAATCCATCGACCTGAACTGGCTATTCAGGAATAAAATACACAATATGCACTGGATGTAGGCATTAGCATGAGTTTATATAGCTTAAAGTTATAAATATTTACATTATTTGCCTGGATATCTCAGAGTTTTTTTAACCATTCAATTCAGTATATTTTTTTGACATTGCCCTCTATTTTTTATTTCAGTAGGCGAACTATCAATGAGAAAATAAATACCATAAGAGTCCGTGTATAACAACACTTTGATTATTTAATTTGTGCAACGCTACTGCAACTAGTTTCTCTTAATTATCAAAAATGTTTGTTTCATGGTACAAAAACTGTTACAGAAATTTTCTCGAATATGAAAAAATTGTATTGTTGGGAAGTAGATAAAGATCCTTGGACGTGAATAAAAAAATTCAATCGGAAAATGTTCAATGGTACTGGATCACAAAATTGTATGACTTTTATTTTTACAATCGATCTGTTGAGTTTATTTCTGTGAAAAATGTCTCAGTATGAATAACTTTCCGATTTTTTTCTCCTCTAAAAAAAGTAGAAAACGAGTGTCAAAGAAATTCGATAGACAGAATTTTGATAGAATAACTCGTATTGATTGATTTTTATTTTCACAGTCGATGTGTTGAGTTTATTTCTATGAAAAATGTCTCGTTATGAATAAACCTTTCCGAGTTTTTTTTCCTCTAGAAAACGTAGAAAACTAGTGTCAAAAAAAATCGATAGATAGAATTTTGATAGAATAATTCGTATTGATTGATTTTTATTTTCACAGTCGATGTGTCTAGTTTATTTCTATGAAAAATGTCTCGTTATGAATAAACCTTTCCGTGTTTTTTTTCCTCTAGAAAACGTAGAAAACTAATGTCAAAAAATCAATAGATAGCATTTTGATAGAGTAATTCGTATAAAAAAATCTACACCAATTCAATTTTTTTAAATTGAACATGTTTCTGGTCGGAAGAACTGACAGAATCCATTCATTCGTTCATTCATTCACTGAATATCGAATTCATTCGATTAATGATCGACATACTGTACACATTCCCTGGAATAATCGAAGTGCAACATGTGACGGTCCCTTCCACGCCGCAGGGACGAGTAACGACGCTAGACAGGCGCTGAGAACTGCCCGGGAGAAGACCATCGAGGGTCCAGAGCGCCCCCAGACAAGAGTTCCTCCCAGAATTGGGCCCGCCACCTGTCCCCAGAGAAATGCCTCTCGCATGTTTGATTCGATCCTCTCAACTGGCAGGAGCTGCATCAAAAAAATATTCCGATATTTCAACCCGAGGCTTCGCCACCGGCTGCCAGTTACACTCGTGAAAATTCCCCTTTCACATGTTTCGAACAATATTTTTTGTGATTCCTACCTGAAAAGTGCACTTTTCGAAACGGTTTAGCGTGCGTAAAGCAGTTGTTTCCGCACATTCGTGAACTTTACACACGCCGTGCGTAAAGTTCACGAGTGTGCGGAAATAACTGCTTTACTCTCATTACCAATCTGAACAGTGAAGTCAACAGCTATCACAAAAAATAGGATGAGTTACACGTGCATGCGAAAATGTGAAACTTTACGCACTGGTAACAAAATATTCTATTTTAACAGTAATATTATTTTCAGCGAGTGTCGAACTGTCTTTTTTTGTGTACTTTTCATCTATGAGTAAGCGAAATAGTAGGGGAGGGTAGGGCAAAACGGAACAGGCGGACACAACCGACCGCAGGGCAAAACGGACCCCTAGGGCAAGACGGACCACTGACAGAAAATTGATAATTTTTTGATTTTTTTGACAATTTTTGCTTCCATTCGGAAGCAAAAACAAAAATGCACAATCACTTGTGGTTCTAGGTGATTAGCAAATCTGGTCAAATTGCGGTTCAACGACACTTCTTGTTTATAAAACCACTGTGACGGTTATGATCCTGAAACTCACTTTTAATTCAACACATCTAGTGTTCCTGATTTGAAGGAAAGAAAAAAAAACAACAATAACCAATTTTCTGTCAGCGGTCCGTTGCTTTGATCAACAAGGACATCAGTTTAATAAATCACGAATCCCATATCGTTTTTATTTTTTGCTACCTCAAAGGCAATGATCTGAACATCCTCAGTGCGATTTCGACTGCTGATGTTGACCAGCATGTCGCAATGCCACGAAGTGTCAATGATCGCATGGTTGTCCTCAAGATTAGCGAGTAAAGCAACTGATGAGCTGACTTCCACTGCACCGCAGAGAGCAAATCCCACTCCCACGAGACCAGCTACGATGTGTCGTGCTCTCACAGCCGCTGAAATAATCAATTCCGTCACCAAAAATTCTCAAGTTATGAATAAAAAATCTCCCTCAAATTTCTGTTATTGACTCTTATCCACTCGATGTAGATGAAATAGCTTCATGCCCCATAATTTATTTATCAGAGGTATCACGAATTACTCATGATTATTAAATACCTGCAGACCTTCCTATTTCAGGATAGAGGATATTCCAATAGAGCATTTCTTTGGAATTAATGAACTATCAATTTCATGCAATAACACATTAACACATTATCATTTACTGAGAAAAAAATCCACGAAAAATTACTAGGAAAATGCAGTAAAAAATTTCCAAATCTTGTACAAGAAAAATTCGCTGAAATTTCGTAAATTTTATCAGTTCATCATTCTTTCTGGGCGGATGAAACGGTTGCGGGAAAATTGCCAAACAAATCAAGTAATCGTGAAACGAAATTCAGTTCTAGGTCTTTTTGGCTCTATCTCGAGACAAATGGCGAATTTTTCGCTGCTTGCGCCGGAAAATTTACCAAACGTTGGGATAACTCTTCCCGAAGTTGAAAAATTTATTCGGAATTCGTCAAAAGTTACGCCAGCAAACTTGAGTGAATGAGTGCTCAATGTCTAGGAATTTTTTAGTAGCAGAAAATGATTTTTTACCGAACACTGTACATTAAATTTTCACTATCGCCGGTTCCCATGTCATTCGCCCCGGTGTCAGAAAAATTAAATAACACTCTACTGTATACAGGGAGTCATAATTTTTGCGTGCACATCAGATATAATTTTTTTATACGGAATAAATCGTAAGACATCTCGAATCAAATAGTGGATTCGACATAAGGCCTAAAAAAATTTCTGGGGAATATAAGATTGTAGCCCAAGCCGAAGGCGAGGGTTGCTGATCATATGAACTAGAAAAGTTTTTTTAGGCCGTGTGACGAATGATATTTCTTGTCATAAATTTCTTGTCATAATGATATTTCTTGTCATAACGGCATGACAAAATCGTATATTTCGATACGAGTGAAACAGAATTTCACGAGTGTAAAATTGGCGGCCCGAGGCAAAGCCGAGCCGATATGTATGAAATACACAGGACCCATATTTTCCCCATACAGATTTTTTCATGGAGGAAGTTTCTCCGGATGAATAAAATTCTCCCCTAAACCCCTCACTGAGAAAAAAAATTATTTTTGCCAAATATTCATTTACTTGAGTGAAGCATTTATTTTTCGAAAATCGTATTTCTTCAGTCGAACCATTCCTAGACGCGCATGATTTGGTTTCAATTATAAAAATTATGTCGGTCTAGAGGATGACAATGTTGCACATGACCTTGGATGAACTCCTCTAATGATTATGCATTTTTCCTAAATTTCTTATTTTCTGGAGGGAAGAATTTCGATTAATTGTTTAATGCTGATACTTATTGAGGGAGTTCACTCAAGGTTATAACTTACCTGATCATCTTCTGGAGCAATATAATTGGCACAATTGAAACCTAATGAGAACTGCCTGGGAATGACTGGACTGGAGAAATAGGCCATTGAAAAAATAAATACTTCTCTCAAGGAAATGGATATTTGGCAAAAATAACTTTTTTTCTCAGTGCTCCATTCCTCCCATAACCACCAATTCAAAAAATAATCCCTAGCCGCCTAATTCATATCACCACTTCACTGCACATAGAATTCCCCACATTATTCCATCTTGCGTAATTAGGCACCATGGGAATAATATTTGCCTTGAACAATAATTTCAACGAAGCTACCTCACGTTATCTGAAAATACAAATACCATTCGTCGCTCAGTTAATTCCGTTTATTCTCTCAAGTTCATTTGAGACATTTCCACAGGTACTTCACAGTCTTTCACGTAATTTAACTTCACTTCCAGCATTTCGAAACCTTCACCACGGGATGAACATCGATGATTAACTTTCCTATTGAGGAAATTAATTGATACTCCATCGATAAAATTTTGACACTCGATCGATCACTCGATGGATCCATTTCAATATATTTATTACGAACCTCTGACTTCCTTGGCAGCCTGCCTTATCTGTACACTGCTCCTCTTCACGAGCTGTACACTACCTCTCTTAACGAAGTCAGCCATTTCACAGAGAGGAGAAAACCAGCAATGAACACAATCCTTATTTTTTCCTTATCAAAAATGTAGGCTCTGATGATTCTGTTTGAATTGTACCAACACACGCGCATGACCGAGACTTTGATTACACGACATTGGGGGGTTCAGTTGATCAACTGACTGATGATGATGATGATGTAAAGTAAATATGTTTATCAATTTCAGAGTATTTTATGCCTATTTTTCCATACCATTTATTCAACTCCTGTGATTTGGATGGATTAAAAATAGCAGATGATGCACGGAGAGAAATATTGAATGAAAATTACGTATCTTTTCCGTAATTCCGGAGCGAAATGTGCTTGTAGGAAATTTTACGGAACTATCACGTAATTTTCACTTAAACTCACGAAATTTTTCCAGAAAGTTCCGTACTTTTTACCTGAATCTCCTGTGAAAAATTACGATACGGTCACTTAAATTTTATGAGTCGATTCCGTAATGGGTGAGCGAACTGTAAGTTCCGTAATTTTTACCGAACATTTCTCTCCGTGTGGAGGTTTAAAAGAGAGGAGTGAATGTAGGGGGATTGAGCTATTTGGAATTGTTATAAATGAGGGAAATTTGCTGTTCACTTTAATAAGACGTTTATCATTTGTTTTGAATAAGGAGCAATTTATCCAAAAAAAATTTCGTGAAAATTTTCTCAAATTATTTGCAAATGTTCTCAAACATGTTTCAAAACGGTGTAGATGTCCGTGTTGGTTTCTGTCAAGATCTACTTAGCTTCGAGTTCTTGTTTACTTGAGGTTAAGGTGCAAGGCAAATTTGTTATAATTGTTTGAGTTTTTTTTATTATTGTTGTTATTCTGAGAAGGAGAGGCCTCCTACAGACTCAGTTCTGCGGTGGCGGTGGAGGGAGGCATGTGTAGATGTAAAAAAAAAAGTTTGTAACAACAAGGAAATAAAGAATTGGATTGATTATTCAAAATTATAGTAGGGCATCAGGGGGAATTGAGGGAGATTACATGAAAGAACAAGTTGATATCTCGATTTCTGCAGAAGTTACAGCGTGGACTAGGATTTTAATCTCTCGAAAACTTCGAATATATATTTTTATCGATTGATCTAGGTAGAGTATAACGAGACGAATATTTTGAGAGAAGAAAAATCTAAATCGATCTACTAGTTGTTAAGATATTCGCGAAAAACGATTTGAAAACGAATCACTTTTTTTTCAAAAACTATTGAATCGATCGGGTTCACATTTTGCACAGTTAATCCATCTTAAGATCTATAATCTGACAAAATTTCAGATTTTTTTAAATGACTTCAATCACCTAATTACTGAATGTTCTAAAAACTTTACGTTTCGCACTATTCTACAACATTACCAATAAAAATTAGAAAATGTGATATAATCGAGCGATTACAAAGCTTCCATTTGAAAGCAACAATCAGAAAAGATTACTGAAAAACTCACGTAATCGTGAAACAAAATGAAAATCCACTGAAGTGTTTAATTTCGATCGCCGCGTTTGGAAAATGGTGACTTAATATTCATTCTTCACTATTCAAAAATAGAAATTGAGAAGATGTATATTATCAGAGAAAAAAAGTTTTAAATTTCAGGGACATGCCCCTGATTTTTAATCATTTATCCCCAATTATTGAAGATTCGCAATAGTCAAATTCAGTGAGTGCAAAATTTTAAGATTCAGTGATTTTGTCATCAATTTTGAGTGACACTATCACTAATTTTCGGGGACCCATCGAATTTTTCGGAATTTATCACCAAATTTCAGTAACAAAAATAACCGATGATCAGCCATTCTATTCAGTGTCCAGTGTCGCCAATAATTGGTCACAGCCTTCTAAAAATCAATGTCATATTCCAAAAAATAATTTTTGCCCCGTGCTTAGTAAAAATTGAATGATTATCTTTAATGAATTACAGAAAATTGCCCAACGAATGCTAAAAAATTTACTGTACAGAGGTAATTTTTTTTCCCACAGAAGTAATTTGTCCACTTGAAAACGTGAAATTTCCTCCACCCAAAGTATTGTTCCTTCAACTTCTCAATTTCAAAGACTAAAGTCAGATTTTTTTACCTCTAACTTCAGCCGCGGCTGCTCTCAGCTGTACACTACTCCGTTTGAGTCTCACTAGAGCTGCCATTGTTATCACAAAATCAGTCCGTAATACTCCTGAACGTAAACGTGCCTGTACTTTCGGCACATTTTGAATAGTTTTTTGTGTGTGACCTTATTCGCCACGTTAACACTGAGGGCAATCGTGACAACTTGTTGTACCTCTAATGCTATTCGTTTCGGTCCCCAACGGGCAGTGATTACCCTGTGGCCCATTCGGATGGGCTGAGGATAGAGAAGAGTGAATGAACAAGCTGGTTAACGAGTCTTAATACAATAAGTGCCGATGACACTGGGTACAGCCTTGAGGGAATGTGCGTTGTCACGCTTCCCTTGATTGTTCATTATTTTGTTGGAATATTTTTGGTGTTTGTTTTGATTTTTTTTGGGAGAAATTTTGGTGGGAAATTGGTAGCATACACTGAGAGAAAAATATGATTCTTCTGACTATATTCCATCACCATCGAATTATAGTCAAAAAGTCCTCAACAATTTTTCATGGGCTACGGTAACTACGGCCGGAGAAGTAATTACTACAATAGAATGTAGTCATTGCAACTATTTTATAATTCTTCTCACGATAGATTTGTCGTGGTTACTTTTGAACTTTGGTTAGTTTAACTGCATTTTGATTTGTAAAAATTACGCTTGTGTCGTAAAAAATCGTATCGTTTACCAAAACTGCCTCAACTATTTTCTTGTTGTAAATCGAACTTCAGGTTTTTCTCTCAGTGTAGATTATTTTATTTTGCTATTGGACTTGCTTTTGGACTTGGACATTTCAATTCTCCATTTTTCTTCGAGTCAGCCAACGACCGCAGAGGCCAATAACTACGAAATAATTAAAAATTCGGTCGAATACTTCTCCACAACTTTATTTTGCTATAGAATGAGGAGGAGGCAGTGAAATGTTGAATGAAACTCAGTTTTATTCTCTTTCTTTGTTCATAAGGGAGACCGGGGCGAAGGAAGCCCCTGTAAACTATGAGATTTTACACAAATGAGTCATTTTTCTACTGTTACTAATGACATACCCCATTGTTAGTAGATTTAAAGTATAAATCAGTAGCGGAGTGGTAAAACCGTTCATGTCGACTCATCTCTCAGTTGAGTTTTTGAGGAATATTTCAAAATCTAAGGGAGATAGCGACATTTTCGTAAAGACATTTGGTGTAGCACTCAATCGGCTCTACAAAAAAGGTTATGATAACAATTTTGCTATCTCCCTTAGATTCCGAGATATTTATTGAAAACTGGTCAGTAGTCAAAATTGACTTGTACCGTTTTACCACTTCGCTACTGAAATAAAACTCAGATTTCAAAGATTATAATCTGTAAAAATTCTAAACGGAAGTTGATAAGAATAAAAGCATTCTGGTTAAGGTAGCGCTCAATTCTTAGTCTAGTATTATTGATAATAATTAATTTATAAGTGCCAAAATAACCATGACCATGACAAAGTTTGACCCTCGTGAGGTAGAACGGGGGAGATTTAATTATTTCACTCAATTTTTGATCAATCGGCCCTCGCCCTTAAAATTTCAGAGACAGCCGACTAGGAATTTTTAGGAGATAAATATTGACTACGATTTAGGGGGAAATTATAAAATTATAAAATTTCCGATTTCACAGAACATTCCAAATTTTTAAGCAGCATTTGGTCAAGACTTCCTCAGCTTATTAGAATATTTAGTGTTAAATTATGCTGAATTTCCAATTATTTGACAATTCAAGATTATATTTACCGAGATTTTCCTGATTTTTATTAACTTTCAAGGAATAATTAAACTCACATTTGCAGTTCTCATTGATTTTTCCATGAGATTCTGAATTTTCAATGACGAAATTCCTTTAAATTTTAGTGGAACTAAAATGTGATAAAAATTCCCTGAAAGTGTGTCGGGAATTTACAGCCACAAAAATTTCAAGTGTAGAAAAAAAATCGAGTTATGATGAACTTACAAAAATTCGTAACTGTAAGATGTAATATCTGCATGAGACAAGAAATTTGCTCATTCCCGTAAAAGCTAGAATATTGCTGATAACGATGATTAGAAATTTTCTTCAATGGAAGTTCCTTTTGTTTATTCGAAAATTTATTATCCTACTTATGTGATTTAAACGACGTTACATCGAAAAAACACTGGACTCATTTGTCTAATTGAAAAACAAAAAAAAAACAGAAGGATCTCATTTTGCCCGGACTCCCCTAAATGTAAATATTTCAACGCGCTAAACAAACTTTCGAATGTTTTCAAATGAGAAATATTGTATTTTGTTTCCAAAGAAATGCGCCGATCTTTCTTATTTCTGAATATCTCGAAAACCATTGAGAGTCCATCGATACGTGTGGCGTGAAAAATTGAGGGATTTGTATAACGAATACAATGGATTTTCATTCTCGCCTTTACGACTCACAATTCTCGAGATACTATCATTTGTTTAAGTAACTAGCTTAAGACCTGTCGTCTCTGAGATTTTCTATTCTTAAAAAAAATCTTTCAACATCTCGTCGTGAATTATTCCCTCAGAAACATTATTTTAACCTCAACAACATGAGTCCCCTCCACTGAAACCCATTCCATGACTTTCATTTCTACTTTTTTCTCCCTTAATAAATTACTTCCTTTCACCGAGATTTTTAAAATCTCTTTTTTTCAAATTGTGTAAATATTCATAAACCACCCGCTCTAATTTTTCTCATATTTCCTTCCCCTATCGATCAGTCGTAAGCTAGAAATCCCCATTATCGACATTATTATCTCGGTCGATATTCAATCACGCTATCAAAGATTGATAAATCTCAATACAAAATCGAAGCCAGGAAGTGCCTCCACCCAGTGATCTCTCAAAAATCCTTCCGCGCCTGCAGATGCGGAATTTTCTCACCAACAAATCCCCAAGGTCACCCGGCCGCCCCTGAACAGGCCCTCGAACGTGTCCCCAACAATGCCCGGACCCCCATAACTCTCCCCAAACTCCATTATTTACCGCCCGAGTATCACATGTGGCCCATTCTCCCCCCGTATCATCGTCCCACCAGTTCCCCGCGTTTTTCTCCGGGACCAACAGGTCGCGCAGCAGGTGGTCCCCCGGCATGTCCCCCCCACTCTTCCCCCACAGACCCACACCACTCGGAATCCACCTGAAACGCGATTGGCCAGTTTACCAGGCAGGTCAAGCACTGGAACATCGGTTAAAGCTGTTGTGTCAGATTCTCCAGTCCTGGCCCACTGTAACCGTCACAAACACGCGTCCAATTAAACCCAAGTGTTTCCAATGTCTTCCACAAATAATCCATTACCCCAACAATTGTGACTCCATTGATCGGCACCACTCCCCCCCCCCT